CCCCCACCTCCCCCTCTCCCATGTCCCCCCGGAACTGTCAGTCCCGTTGTTTTCGCCTCCAGATTGTTCATCCAGCCTGTCCTTGGTATATTTTAATTTGTTCTTTGTCAGTGGATTGATGTTGCTGCTGTTTTGTTGTCCATTGTTGCTTGGTTTTGCTCTGTCTTGTTTTTATGCATGTTGTTGTCTCCGCAGGCCTGTCTGGATAGGACAGGCTCTTTATCATTTTGTATGTGAAAAACCATGTTTGAAAATACTAGTCAATTTTCAAATTAAAGTAGACATACATAAATTTGAACACTTGGTGGCGCCAAGCAGTCTTAAATGTAATATCTGATGTGAAACACAAGCTGTAAACTATTCTTATAGATCTCATAGTTACTTTCTAACTTCTCTTTTAAATAATGTTTTTTAACGATATTAGTGAATTGCAAATAATTTCCTCCAAACTACATTTTTCCACTACCCATTCCATTCCAAAAGTCCTACATACTTTTGTTGAAGATCATTCTAGGGACAAAATTCCTAATCTACTGCATCCTAAAGAATGACAGGATATTTTAGGTTATTGTAGGCATATGAGAGGGATGTTGTCTATCATTTGTTCATTTGCCCATACATCAATATGTGTTGTTTGCATATTATGTGGTAAGAACCATTCCTAGTCTGTTAATAGTCAGATTTATCATCTGTCCCAAGTAACCATCTTTGTAGTCTAGTGGGGGAAATAAAAATAAATAATTGTAATTAAATATAAGAATTATAGTAAAATGTATATATAGGGACAATATTATTTTTGCATATTTAGCACCACACATAATCCATCCCCCCAAATGTTAAACTGGATAGCAGCACAAGGAGGAGAAATGCGTGTCTTCCTGAGAAAGCTAGGACATTCTCTTAGAGGCCACCCTGAGCTGAGAACCAGAGAGATATTGTTAGTCAAGAGTATACAGGACAAGGACACATGTATAAAGCCACAGAGACTTGAAAGTTTTGCGCGGCTTGGAGAACTATGTTATTGCTGGACTATGAAGTGTGAGCAGGAAAGAGGAAGCTGGACCTAAAGTGGAGAGTGGAGCATACAAGCTAGTCCGTAATGCCGGAGGTGCAGACCCGGGAGTGAGACGGCCCTGAAGCACTCATGCTGCTGTCCTTGGTCCCAGAACATGAAGAAACTCCCGGCAGCAAGAAGTCTTAGTAAATGGTTAACTATGATACTTGTTTCGAACTTCATACTTTGCAAAGGATTTTTCTTTAATCCATGAGCTCATCAAATCTTTACAACAGTCCTTCAAAGTATAAAGATTATCCTTAGATTACAGATGAGAAACTTAAGCTTCAGAAAAGTTTGTTTATTCTTTCACCTTTTCCTCTGTTCAGCAGATAGGTACGTAAAGGTTTTATGTTCAGGAGTTAGGTGTTCCTGGCCACATAGCTAAAAAATTGTGCTAGGATTAAACACAGATTCTCTAATTTATTTACTTATTTAATTTTTTACCGTTTTTACACTCTAATTTAAAATCCCATGGGTTTTTTTTCTACTATGCAAGAGGCCTTAAAAAACTTTATGCAACCGGTAATTTAAAAATTTTATATGAACTTTTGAAGTCTCCTTGTACTTTATAGTCTTTTGAAATATCCATAATATAGCACCAGTAAGTGATGAAAATGTCATTGAGTGTGTTTTGCTGCAGCTATACTTGTAGCTGTACTAATTGCCTTCTATCCCGCTAACCAAGGATCCCTGGTGGTGTGTTGTTTATGAGTTGGGCTGCGATCCACATGGTCAGCAGTTTGAAGCCACCAACAGTTCCGCAGGAGAAAGACTGGGCTTTCTAATCAGGAAAACATTAGTCTTGGAAACCCATGTGATTCAACATTGACTTGATGGTAGTGAGTTTGAATCCCCCTAACCACCCTGTGTTAGGCCAGGTTGTCTAGAGAAACAAGTCCAGTGATACTTACATATATGTAAGAAACAGCTTTATATCAAGAATAAAATATATATATATATATCAAGAAAACATCCCAGCCCAGTCCAACTCAAGTCCATATGTCCAATACTAGTCCATAACTCCCTCTCAGACTCACACAGCCACATGTATTTATGCAGAATGCAGGAAGATCACAGGCTGGTGAGTGCAAAGTCCTGTGGATTCAGTGGTGGTGGACCCATCACAGGGCTCTGGAGGCAAGCTGTGTCAGCCTGCAGGAAGATGAAGGTAGAGAGGGAGCTTCCCAGAACCTTCCTTATGGGAAGGCCATGCCATAAGGCGTCACCATTAGGCTGTGACCTGATTGACGGGCTAGACTCCACCCCTACACTTTTATATATCTTCAAGCTGACATGAAATTATGTAAGTACCACACAGCCAGTCATCTAGATTGTGACTTCAGAAGGGGGCTCGGAAGGTATAAATCTTGTTCTTTAAGAATCCTGATTATATTCTTTTTCCTTTTAATTTGTCTCTCCTAAAGTCTATTCATAGATATATAATTTTAATGTGCAACTAACAAGGAACCATGCAACTTGATATTTCTTTTTAATTTTACTTGTGCTATTTATTTTACAATTTTTGGTTTTTGTAATAGAAACAATGATGGCAAAAAAAAGTTAATTTTCACATTTTAGATGTTACAGAAATGCTTCTAGCATTTAAATATTGCTATAACAGCTGATTTGTCATTTTTGTAGCAATACCTTGATGATAATACTGTGGAAGCTATGGCCTTTCGGAAGAGTGCAAAAGAATTGTTGCAACTGGCAGCCAAAACACTAAAGAAATTGGGAATACGATTCTGGCTAAGCAGTGGCACTTGTCTAGGTAAAATTCTTAGGAATTTACCTTTGTCTTTTTGACCTTCAGAATTTCAGCTTGAAATGAGGCAATACACTGAAATTTGAAGTATAATCATTATTAGTGCATGGAACAAGGACTTAGGAATTTTTTAATGGACTTTACTTTGGAAATATAAAACTAAGGACGGTCATGTTTGTATTTCTCAAATTATAAGTAATACATATTTAATTTATATCAAATAATGAGATCATGTTGACTTTGAGGGGATATCCAAAAAAAACAGAAATTCTTTTTCAAAGCTATGTATTTAAATGTTTTTACAAAACTACCTTATCACCTTCAAAATATCCTCCGTTACAGTTAATGTATTTGTCAAATCTGTGATTACATTCTTGGAAACATTTTTCAAATGCATGTGTTTGGATGGCTGACGGCACCTCCCTCATTTTTTCATCACCTCTTCCACATTGTCAAATCACTATCCTTTCATGCCCCTCTGCATTCACGGAAACAAAAAGATGTCGCACGGAGCAAGATCAGGTGAGTATGGTGCTCTGGGAAAGAGAAGCATGCTGTTTTTTGCCAAAAAAAACCCCAAAAAACAGCACACTGAGAATGGCTACGTGAGCAGGTGCGTTGTCCTGGTGGCAAAACCAGTCTCCCGTCTGCCACAAATCAGACGTTTTTTTGGTCGCACAATTATACAATTTTTTCAGAACCTCTAAATAGAAAGCCTGATTAACAGTCTTAGCTGCTGGAACAAACTCAAAATACACAAGTCTACATTTTGATCCATTTGGGAAGTTAATGGACATCAAGATTGAGGTTTGTCATCAATCAACATTTCACCTTTTTTGAAATGAGAAACCATTTGTACACCTGAATTTTTCCCGTAGCGCTGTCCTTGTAAGCTGTGTTCAACATCACAACCGTTTCTGTGGCATTTTTCCCGAGCAGGATACAAAATTTCACGGCTTCACGTGTTTTCTTAAATCAGTCCTCACAAAAAATGAGGTTCAAGCAAAACTGCTTTTACAAAAAAATGCACTGTGGCCTGAGAGAACCTTCCCAGGCAACACTGCTGAGTGCACTAACTCAGAGCAAGTTGCTTGATGCTCTCTGCCCAGCACAATTCTGGAGTGGTGTTGTTGGTTTTGAGTATGCCCTTGCGTAGTTAATTCTCAGGTAATCCTTAGACAAACCTTTTATTCTATCCCAAAGATTTTTTTCTTTAAAAACAGCAACTCTATTCTGTTTCTTTACTTACATTCCATTCAAATTACTTACTGTACACTAAAAGTTTCTAATGAAAGGAAGATAGAAAGTAGTGTTGTGAGATCCTCTACAAACCTGGTAGCGGCGCTGATGGGCCACCACTGCCTTACCAGTCTGTTGATTCTGAGATGGGGAAATACTCTTTTCTATAGTTCTTGTATAAGTTGCTATTGAAAGGAAACTTGAGATTTCATGATCCCCATTTAGTGCCCTGAAGGAACTCTGGTGGTATAGTCAGTTATCCATTGGGCTGCTAACTACAAGGTCAGCAGTTTAAACCCACCAGAGATTCTAAAAGACAAAGACGAAACTTTGTGCTCTTGTACACCTTGGAAACCCAAAGAGGCAGCTCTACTGTGTGTTGCTATCAGACCACTATCAAGTCATTATTGAAGCTAATGCATTATTCAGAAATGAAAATAGGTCATCAGAGTTTTAGAGGAAGTTTAGTAGTGCTCACACCAGGGAAAAATAAGACTTAAAAATACATATTCTTCAACGGGTGACTGAAAATCAGAAGTAGTCTTTCAGTTGGGGCTTTTTTTTTTTTTTCAATAAGGTATTTGGTAATGTACCCTGAATCTAATCCTATGAAATAAAATGTCTGATAAAAAGATCATTCATCATGATGACTGATTTTGTGTGTGCTTAAGGCATTTTAGAATTTGTTTTTACTCCTTTTTTTCCCCTAGGGTGGTATCGGCAGTGCAACATTATTCCTTATAGCAAAGATGTTGACTTAGGAATTTTTATACAGGATTACAAATCTGATATTATTATAGCATTTCAGGATGCAGGACTTCCACTCAAGCACAAATTTGGAAAGGTCAGTGATAAAACTCAGTTTTAACTTTGTAAGTAACATGCCTTTAATAGAGTTTATATTAAGCAACTCAGAGAAGAGTAAGTATATGAGTGCATCATTTTATATGTGGCCAGCTTCAGTTTGTCAGAAGCTTGTTACCACTTAAACACCTGTCCTATTTAGGAAAAACTAGAAACTTTGTGGTAGGGGGAGACGACTCATGAGTACTTGTCAATAAATGTACTACAAACTGCTGTTAAGAAACCAATCAACCTCACTGCTCTTGTGAGCCTCCAAGATGGTAACTCTTATCGGGAATAGAAAACCCCATCTTTCAGCTGAGCTGAAATGTGGAACCACTACATGACCAGGGTTTCTTTGCAATTCCATTAGGTAAAAGTTAGTATGTAATAACTAAGTTCATAGAATAACTAAGAAGCATAGCCCCACTCTCTTCCAAAGCTGTACTGTTTTTCATGTATTTTTTAAAAAAAATCTTCATTTAGGCCTGGATATCATTTGACATTAGATATTTCATTAATTGCCAAAGGGTGGAAACGTAGAACAAATACTGAATCCCTTGTTTATCTTACATTTTTCCAAGGAAGGCTATTGTAGATCAGCAGTTTCCTTACGTCAAAGCAGGGCCCGGTCATAGCTTAGATGAATTCTCCTTATAGATGATTTGATCCCCTATGTCCTGATTCTGTGTAATCATCTCACTCTTAACTTGCTTCTTCTCAGGAGCAACAGTTGTATATTTAGTCACTGAAAAATTACTTGCCCTCTCATAAATATTTATTACCATTTATTTAAAACATTTGAATAGAATCTGGTTCTGAGGTCAAAATAGTAGAACTTCTGTCAGTCAGCAAACATTTACTGAACACTCACTCTGTGTCCACATTCAGGACACCCCACTGTCAACGTCAATTCCAGTTCATAGCGACCCTACATAAAGTGTTCAAGGCTTTGAATTTCACTGTTGCAGGCAGCCGCATCTTTCTCCCAAGAAGTGTCTGGTGGGTTTGAACTGTCAACTTTGCAGTGGCTTTCCTGACAGTGCCACCAAAGCTCGTACACTAAGGATATAAGTGTGCATAAATGATAACCTTACCCTTGAGGAGCTCACTGTCTCACTGGGAGAAAAAAACCCAAATAATTATGATGTGATTCGTGTTGTAACAGACAGATGTACCACATCCGATCCGGAGGGAGCATAATGATGGGATCGTTTTTAGTGAAATGCTCTGAGATCTTTGTCCTATACCTTGACTTTTACTTCTTTTTTTCATATCTATAATCTGTATGTGTAGGTTTACATAATGCCATTTGTGTCTGAGTACTTACATATTGAGTTAGCTCAATTCTTGCTAATAAATTTTGGCTTTAGGAAGAATAATTTTTCTTTGTTTTTTTTCTCCCCTTTAGTCAGGACAGGACACTGAAATAGAATGTTTCTATTTTCTATGGGAAATGATAGTTCAACAACCTTAAGTCATATATTCTGAGTTGTCCTCAGTTGTAAGATGCAGCATTCTTTATGAAAGAAATTAAATTATGGCATGCTTCGGGTGGAAGATACACCCCTATCTGAGAGGCTTTCCTTTTGAAAAAAAAAAAATACACATTTTAGAAACACTATATAAAACCTAACAATCTTTTTAGAAAATATGCATTTTGTTTCAGTCTGACGGTTTTCATCTTCTCCCTAGGTAGAAGACAGCTTAGAACTATCTTTCCAGGGAAAAGATGATGTGAAACTTGACATTTTTTTCTTCTATGAAGAGACTGACCATATGTGGAATGGAGGCACTCAGGCCAAAACAGGAAAAAAATTTAAGTATGAATCAAATAAGTACTTTAAAAATGAACTTTAGAAGTAACTGAATGTGAAAACCAGCGAGTCCGTCTCAGCTCCACTTTCAGTTAGTGTTGCCGTAGCTTACCCTCATGGGCCCGCTCAGCCTGTAAGGACACTCTGCACGAAGGAGTGTCCTGGGTTTGTGATTGTGGCTCGAGGTCCATAAGTCCCCAGAAACGGAAAGCTAAGACAAGGAATACACAGCCATAATACTGATTGACGGTCCCAGCTGTAGGGGCTTGATAGGAATGAATGAATAATTGTCAGTAAAGACAGAGTCTAGGGAAACTTTGGTTGAACAAGGTTGATTCTGTGAATTCTGGGCAAGCTCTGGAATGTTTCTTTAACATACCATATATACTCGAATACAAACCAACCTGAATATCAGTCGGCACCTAATTTTACCACAAAAACTGAATTAAAAAAGTTCTGGAAAACTGGGCTTATACATGAGTGTATATGGTACATAGACTGAGGGTTAATCCTTAAGTGATACTCCTTAGGTTTAACAGTTTCCATATTTTACAAAGTTTGAGATCATCTTGACTAAGATACACTGTTTAATGTGCACAAAAAAAGAAAAACACTGCCAGTTATAATTATAAGACACTTGATTCACAGATGGAAAAATGGGGTAGAAAGTATCTCAAGCTTGATGGAAAGCAGTATGTTAGGTTAGCATTGTTACCCTTAGGCTTTTTAAATGTTGGTGCTTCTCTTTGGTGGTTTTTAATGCTGCATAGTCAAACTCTTGGGGGGGGGGGACAAAACAAAAAATGTCATAGAAGTAATTATGCTCTCCTTTCTTAGACAATCAACCCTTCCTCCGTTCAACGGAAAGGGTGGGAGGAGAAGAGGGACAGCGAGAGGAAGTAGGAGAGAGAACGGAAGCATGAAGAATATGAGCTTAGAGTCTTCCAGACTTCAGTCCATCCCAGTAGCTTTTCTGAATACTACTGATTACTGTTCAAAAATGCATTATACTAAAATCACATAAGATTGTTGAGTTTAAGATTACCACTGTCATCATTTGATTCCTACTCAAAAAGTGATTCTATATAGGGTTTCCATGGCATTAATTCTTTATAGGAACAGATAGCCTCATCTTTCTGTTGAGGAACAACTGGTGGGTTTGAGCCTTGAGCGTAGCAGACCTGTGTGTGTGCACTTTTTTTCATGCTTTCCATGTGTCAGACACTATCCTGAATATTTATGTCAGTGCAGTCCCCACAACAACTGCAGATTTTCGGTGAGGCACAGAACTTGAGTAAGAGGATAGCACTGTATGTTTTTATTTGCATCACAGCTCCATTGCTAACCACAAAGTTGGTGATTGAGACTCCCCTCCCCCCAGCCACCCTGTGTCAGAGAAATGAGGCAGACTGCTCAGGCCGACTGCTCCTATACAGATTCATAGTCTTGGAAACCCAAATAGAGTTGCTGTTAGTTGGAATCAGCTCTATGGCAGGGGCCTTCGACATCTCGTGCAGGTTGGAGAACCTCTCTATGCCTTAAAGTCCCTTCCTTGTAAAATGGGGATAATAATGGAAATTTTCGTATGTTTGTTTTATTAGTAAAATGAGTTGTTGCAAAAGGACTTTTGACAGTTTTTGCTGCTGCTACTGCTAGTAACACTACTAGTTTAAAAATATATTCCTCTTGAATCTTGTGAGAAATCTACATATTAGAAACATTTTAAATTATCTTAGTATTAAACTGCTACATGTATTCCTACAAAAAGCATAGGAGAGTGTCACCTTTTTTCTAGCAAAGATAATTTCTAGAACCTGGTTAGAATCTTGTTTTTCTTAAATTTCCTTCTGAGACTTGAATTTCTTTCCTCTTGTGATATGAAATCCACCAGCCTCAAAAGCACTGTTCATTTCCAGCCACTGCAGTTCTGGATAGCACAGGCTTCTTTCACTGTGCTTGAGCTGCTCTGTGTCGTAGCAGTGTTTGGGAAGTGTGAAGTGTGCGATTATTTAACAAGGAAAATGAGCAGTGATAGACTGTCTGGACAGATGGTGTGAGTCCCAGAATTTCTAGCATGTTCCCATGACCTTAAAAGGCAGAGAAAAGAGCAGAGGATGGCTGTGGAGAGGAGTTGCTTTGGAAGAGTCCCCTAACCATATGCCATTTTATTCTTTTAGCACTATTTACTGTAAGGGACTGCCTGGGCTCTGTATCATTTCCCTAATACCATTTCTAGTAAATTTCTAAGAGCTAGTTTCTGAGTCTTGTTATCCTTACAATATTCTATTTTTCCCATGAATAGTTCATTCTGAGAAAAGCTTATTAATATCAGAGAATGCTTATCACAGTCAAACCTGTGAGAGTTGGAATGTGATGCAATGACCTTGTTTGACCTAGGTCTTGCGTTTTCTACCTTTCACAGGATGCCATCTTAACATTCTTCTGTTACTTCTCAATGTTGTACCTACCACTGACTAAAGATTTGGAGATGTAATGAAAATGAACTAAGTAGGGAGCAGTGAAAAAGAGGTAGACCCTCCACAAGATGGCTTGACGTGGTGACTTCAGTGATGGGCTCAAGCGCAACAGCAGATGTGAGGATGGCGCAGGACCACACTGTTTTGTTCCATTGCACATGAGGTCAGAACCGACTCAGCGCCTAACAACAGCAGCAAGACAGCCCATGTGTCACTCCGTCTCATAGTCTTGGGCCAGATGAGAAGGTACCCCATAGCCTTGGTGTTGCTCCTCTTGAGTCCCCATGCCACGGACTCTGGTGCATGTGGTCTACATCTTGGCCATGCTCTTCCAAAGGTCCTAAGATTCCTGTGTCCCAGATAGTTCTTAATCGCTACGGAACAGCTTTGATAGAACTGTGGTTTTTGTCTTTTAGCCGACCGTACCCCCAAGAACACAAAGGATGGCATCTTAAGTGGCACCCTCTACTGACGCCTAAAGCTGCTCCCAAGGGAACTAAAGCAGTGAGTTACTGTGGTTTGTATTTTTTATCCCCTCTGTTACAGGATTAAGGTGGGTGTAAGTCCTAACCTTAGTAGACAGGTTAGGACTTAACCCCACTTTAATCCTATAACAGAGGGGGTACAAAAACAAAAACAAATCCCTGCCATTGAGTTGATGCCATTTCATAGCAACCCTATAGGACAGGGTAGAACTGCCCTTATGAGTTTCCAAGACTGTAACTCTTTACAGGGCTAGAAAGCCATGACTTTTTCCTACAGAGTGGCTAGTGGTTTTGAACTACTACTGACCTTTTACAGATCACAACAGAAAGTGTAACCACTGTGCCCCCAGGGCTTCCCTGCAACAGAGAACTCCCTGCAAAATGGGAGCATAGCCACAGGCAGGGTCCTGAAGTTTAGGCATCACAGAAGGAATTATGGCTGGAAGTACCCTATTAATTGACTACATCTCACGTATTACTAATAATAAGAAGTGGAAAAACTAGTTCATTGACAATGCAGTTAACCATAACAAATACATCATAAGTATAACTGCCTGTACTAACTAATAAGATTAGTTTATCCTAGAACCAGTAAGTAACAGATTTTTAGGATGTCTCTGAAGAGAAAGGAGCCCTGGTGGCTCTATGGGGTAAGCATTGGACTACTAAAATGCAAGGTAGGCAGTTCAAAACCACCGGCCACTCTGAGAGAGAAAGATGAGGTTATCTGCTCCCATTAATATCTAGAGCCTTAGAACCCCCATGTAAGGTCACTGTGAGTCAGAATGGACTTCTGCGAGTGGGTGGGGTGAGAAGTATGATCTGCTAACTCAGTTCTGACTGCTGTCTCTGCAAAAATAAACGGACATGGAGCTGAAATTGAATGACAGAAGCGTCGTTAATGACGCCTCGTTGATGCCCGGTGCTGTCAAGTAGGTTCTGACTCAGTGACCCTAAGAACAACAGAATGAACTACTGCCTGGGCCTCCCAGCCTCACATTTGGTGTTATATTTGAGCCCTTAACTTCATCCTAATTTCAGGCTGTCTTAGTGAGAGTTTAAATTAGTTGATACTTTCGATTCCATCCCAGGGCATACTGCTTCGCTGAACTTAATCTTAGCTTTCAAAGGTAAAGCAGCATTGTAGGCCTGGATGAATTCCCCCTTTCCCTGTTGTTTCCTGGTAACCTGAACAGAGGACGTGGCATGTGCTCCAGTCTCCTCCTCTCCACAATCTCATTTTACTGTCAGTTTTCTCATTTTATGGTTTATTTATCTTTCCTCTTCTCCTAGGAAGCAGGGTTTTTTGTTTTGCTTTGTTTTGCTGAATGCATTGAAAGAAAGACTTGAGGGAAAGCAAACCCTAAGTTTCTGTTTGTTTTTGTGTAGGGGCAAGAATTAACATTTGAGTTGTCTTTGAGTTATTTTAATATTGTTTACATATTTTCAATATTTAGGTTTGTAAATCGATCTTGAGTGTGCTTTGCTCAAGCGTTGTGCATTGTCCCAAATGCTTGCTGTCATAAAATTTGTAGTTTTCACATCCACGCCCTCCATCCTAGACTTCTCTTTTTTTTCTCTTTGAATAAAATATTATGATGAGACCATAGAAGCTTCTGTTTCAGAGAAAGCCTGTATTGCTAATGGACCATGATTTGTGCCTCATTTCAGCTTTAGTGTGTCAACTTGATAGGATGGGACAGGTGGGCATTCTGCTGACCAGCGTCTGATTGGCAAGGCTGGAGGCTAGTGATGGATGGGTGTGTCTGATGACAGAATAAGCAATCCCATGAATATGAGTGTGCAGAGTCAAATTGGGAACAGCAGATGGTTGGGCTAAGCTGTATCTTATTTCTTCCTCAGTTAGGAGATTTGCCTTGGCTATGTATTCACAGAAGCCAGCTGGGATTGTCCATTTACTGCCAGCACCCATTGGTTTGAGTAGACAAGACTCATTGCTTTCTTTAGAAAGCTTCTCATTTCTATGTGTCTGGCTTTATGTTCATCTGATGGTAAAATATATTATTTTCATAAACAAAGTATGCTAGAACTGACCTTTCCATCGAGAACATGCCAATTACTACCATTTTTACAATATAATTATACGTAGACAACTGGCTTTTGCCTGATTCTTTCTTTAATCCGAAGGATATTTTCAGCTCTGCTATTGCCACTTCCCATCTTCTCACTGAGGTTCTTTGTGTGTTGTGAAGAGAAGCATTTCTCAGAAAACACTAAAGCAGATTCTAAAGTTACAATATAAAGGTAAAGTAAAGCTAACTGACCTGCTAGTTTTAGATTTCTTTTGTAATATGTAAAACTTAAATTACTTGAAGTGACTACAGAACTTCAGAAAGGTCAGAGCCATGTGGTCTGTGGGGAAAGATGGTTCTCAAAAATCCTTGGGGTGCTTGTAACATTAGAAGGGGAGCAAATGTCCACTCTTAACTATTGCTAGAGTTGTTGGAGATTAAGCCTCCGTTAAAGTGCACTACAACTGGATTCCTCAGCGAGGACATCCACTGTTGAAACCTAACCTCTCCCCACGCTCCCTGTTTTACTACAGGTACAAGTTTCCCAAGTTTACACTCTGCTGGACTGAATTTGTAGACATGAAGGTTCATGTGCCTTGTGAAACCATTGAATACATTGAAGCCAACTACGGGAAGACCTGGAAGATTCCTGTGAAGACGTGGGACTGGAAGCACTCTCCCCCCAATGTGCAGCCCAATGGAGTCTGGCCAGTTTCCGAGTGGGATGAAGTTATCCAGTTATACTGAGACACCAGATTGAAATGGGAGAACTCCTTTTCTGAAAAATGGTGGTTAGCTGTTTAAAAAGGTACAAAAACATTTCTCAAGTATAAGTGAGAGCCAAAGAAAACTGATAAGCATGACGACACAGAAAAGGCCCTAACTTTGGGGCCATCTTCTTTATTCTCTCACTCACCATTTGCTGAGGCAGTTTCTGTGTGCCAGGTACATTGCTAGGTTACAGTGGAGGAACAAATGAATGAGACAGATGTCTCCCTCCTTTCCCCTCCCTTTGGTAAGCACTCTTTCTATTTTCTTTTTTTTTTTTTAAAGATCATTTTATTGGGGACTCTTACAACTCTTATAACAATCCATGCATCAAGCATATTTGTACATAGGTTGCCATCATTATTTTCCAAACATTTACTTTCTATTTGAGCCCTTGGTATCGCCTCCTCTTGTTTCCCTCCCAATGCCGCCCCCTCCCCCGCCACCACACACACACTCATGAGACCTCGATGACATAAATTATTATGATTTTCATGTCTTATACCGACCGCGTCTCCCTTCCCCGGTGGTTCTGGTGTTGTCCCCTTTGGGCAAGTGTTGGGGGGAGGGGAGTGTTATGTGTCAATTACTTCGATTGGTTACTCCCAATTGGAGGAATACCCTCCAGTTGGGTGTTCCTACTTCCTCACCTCCTCTCCCCACCTCCCCCCTACCTTCCTGGTATCACTACTCCCAAAGCACTCTTTCTTTTTAAAGAAACACCCTCACCTGTGACAAGCTCAGATAGAATGTGATATCTTTGGTAAGGGTGTTCTTTTTTTGTTATGTTTTTTAAGTCTGATAATATTTGGATTGGAGGATGGATGAGCTCACTGGGCACAGCTAACGAAGAAATGAAAAGAGTTGTTTCTCTTTTAGGATTTAAACTGGTGTTTAGTGCTGCTTTAGGATTGTGGAGCCTGAGTTGATATTTAAGTGATCAAACTTTAAGTGACATCAAAGAAAGATGCCAGCAGATTCCTTTGACAAGCAACTTGATGTGACATTTATTTAGAGCACAGGGCATTATTCTATAAGAGAATCTAGTGACGTTGAAGATCTTAGTAAATTTTCCTATCTGATGTGAACAGACAACTTGACCTGTGTGATGGCTGTTTCCAACCATAGCCAGGATATTTTCACTGACCCAGGGGGCCCTTGTTGACAAATTGTCAAGTGAAGTCATGCTACTAGACATGCTCTTATTCTCAGTCACTGTGCCAAGAATAAAGATTTAATATTTTCTGAATTTATATTCTTTATACTCCCAATTTTAATATTAACACTCAAATAGAAATATTTCTAATTCTTCCAGGTTTACTTTTCAGTATTATTCATTCTTACATTACAGATACATATAATCAGTTGGCGCGGGAACAGGCAGTGCTTCGTTCTGTTGTGCATAGAGTTGCTATGGGTCAGAACTTACTCAATGGCACCTAACAAAAACAGCAACATATTTTAGTTCTAAGGAGCCCTTGTGGTACAGTGGGCTAAGGACTGGCCTGCTAACAGAATGGTCAGTAGTTCAAACTCACCAGGCACGGAGGGAGAAAGAGAAACCTGTCCACTCCCAAAAAAATTTAGTCTTAAAAATCCTATGAAGCAGTTCTTCTCTGTCTTTCTGATACAATTGCTGTGTGTCAGAATCAGTTTGTTACCATGGGTTTCTTTAATTTGTGTGGTCTATACACCCACGCAAATGACATTGTAAACCTCTTTATGTTTTCTCCCCTCCTGCTACATCAAGTTTCCACAAGCAGAATACAAACGATGACCCTGGCAACTGTTTCCCACCTCACATCAGCTCACTGCCATCGAGTCAGTGCTAACTCATAGCCACCTTACAGGACAGTATAGAACCGCCTCTGAGTCTCCGAGGCTGTAGCTCTTCATGGGAATACAGAGTCCAGTCTTTCTCCGGAAGAGCAGTTAGTAGTTTTGAACTGCTGACATTATGGATTGCAGCCCAACTTGTAGCCACTATGCCTAGTGTTTGTAAAGTTTGTGTCCACCCCTAAGCATGCATTCTGTGGAATATGATGGGGCAAGAACTCAAAGTTCCTTCCTTGGTTCACATCTACCAACTCTGGAACCATCAAGTTTTTTCCATCAGAAAAAAAAAAAATCCTTAAGTGCACTGGGATTGCCTTCTACACCATTCACTTATGAATGGGATAGAATAAAGGAAAATACAAGGAGGCTTCAAGAAATTCATGGAAATTTTTCATTTTTAAAAGGTTTTCATTATTTTATTAGGGGCTCTTACAGCTTTTATAACAATCCATATATCAATTGTATCAAACACATTGATACATATGTTGTCATCATTTCTAAAACATTTTCTTTCTAAAGTCTATCTCCTCTTTTTTCCCCTCCCTCCCACACCCTCCCACCTTCGTGAGCCCTTGATAATTTTTTAAAAATCATTTTATGGGGGCTCTTACAACTTTTATCACAATCCATACATCCATGTGTCAAGCACGTTTGTACATATGTTGCCATCATCATTTTCAAAACATTTTCTTTCTACTTGAGCCCTTGATATCAGTTCCTCATTTCCCCTTCCCCCAACCTCCCTCCCTCACGAACCCTTGATAATTTATAAATTATTTATTTATTTTTAAAATGTCTTATACTGACCGCTAGCTCCCTTCACCCACTTTTCTGTTGTCCGTTCCCCTGGGAAGGACTTATATGTAGATCATTTATCAGTTCCCCTTCTCTCCCCCCACCTTACCCCTACCCTCTTGGTATTGCTACTCTCATTATTGGCCCTGAGGGGGTTTATCTGTCCTGGATTCCCTGTGTATCTGTACCAGTGTACATATTCTGGTCTAGCCGAATTTGTAAAGTAGAATTGAGGTCATGATAGTGGTGGGAAGGAAGCATTAAAAGAACTAGAGGAAAGTTGTATGTTTTATCATTGCTATACTGCACCCTGACTGGCTCATCTCTTCCTGTGACACTTCTGTGAGGGGATATCCAATTGTCTACAGATGGGCTTTGGGTCTCCACTCACACACCTCCTCATTCACATCAATATGATTTTTTGTTCTGGGTCTTTGGTGCCTGACACCTGATCCCATCAACACCTCATGATCACAGAGGCTGGTGTGCTTCTTCCATGTGGGCTTTGTTGCTTCTCAGGTAGATGGCCACTTGTTTATTTCAAGCCTTTAAGACTCCAGATGCTATATCTTTTGATAGCTGGCCACCATCAGCTTTCTTCACCACATTTGCTTATGCACCCACTTTGTCTTCAGCGATGCTGTCAGCATCACAGAATGCGGGTTATTAGAACAAAGTGTTCTTGAGTTGAGGGAGTACTTGAGTAGAGGCCCAATATCTGTCTGCTACCTTAATACTTAACATATAAATATATGTACATAGACCTATTTCCCTATTGTTTTATATAAATATGTTTGCATATGTACGTGCCTGTATTTAGACCTCTATAAATGATGCCCTTTGCCTCCAAGTTACTTTCCTCTTGTCCCACTACATGTTCGGCCTTCATTTGGGTTTCAGTAATTCTTCTTGGCTACATTGCCCTTGATCAAGCCCCATGAGGCATCCTACATCCACCACACCATTGATTTTAGATCACTTGTTGTTCCCTTGTCACTGGGTTGATTGACACCTCCTTCCTTTCCCCTCACCTCTCCCTCTCCTGTACCCCCTCTCCCCCTTGGAACCGTTGGTCTGTTGGTTTCTCCTCTGGATTGTTTATTCCCACCTAGACACACATGCAGGGACAATAATAAGCCCAAAAAACAAGACAGTAAAACAAAGCAATAAAAGAAAACCAAGAAACAAAACAAAAACCAAGGACAAAAAAAGAAAAGTCTATAAATAGTTCCAAGTCTGTTAGTTGACCTTTAGGAGTGTTTTCTGGTCATTCGAGTCTGATAGGGTACACGGCCTGGTCCCAAAGTCTATTTTTGGTATTCCTTGTGGACTTCATTTTGCTTTTGCTCCCTTTGCTGCTGTGTTGCACACCATTAGTGTTTTGCCACGATGTGGTGGGTTCAGATCTGGCAGTTTTGTCCCCTGTAATGCTGTGGGTCAGTGAGGGACATCATGACTTGTGGTAGGGCCGGCCCTATAGTCCTCTCTGTGCATTTACTGCTCTGAAGAGAAATATTGCCCTTTGGGCTTGGTAGGCCAGGAAGTGTTCCACTTTTTCTCCGTCCCTTTTCATTTGCTCCTAATCAGAACCACCCCACTCCCTGAGCTGCAGCTTCAGTGCTGTCCTCTACATGCAATCCACGTGGTTGGGATTGGAGCCAGCCCTGTAGACCTCTCTGTTAGTTTGCAGCTTCATGCTGTTATGTTGCATTCACGTCTTGGTGCACTGGGTTGAAGTCTGGTCTGTCTCTCTCCTGTGGAGATATAAGCAATAGATGTGTTAGTGCCCTGTGCCCCTGCTACCCATGTCTTTTTTTCTCCTTCTTGCTTTTCCCTTCCTTTTAAGTTGGCTGCCATATGTATCTCTGTATTTGGTCTGGCCTCTGCCTTAGTACCTAGACCTCGCCCCAGGAATGTATGTATATAATAGATTTTCCCCTTTGCCCCTTTTGCAGTTTTTTAAGCTTACCTCAGTGGACTCATGTTATACTTGACCATTTGTGCTTGGCTTATTTTGCTTAGCATAATATCCTCCAGTTCTTCCCATGTAGCAATGTGCTTCATGCTTTCGTCATTGTTTTTTAGGGATGCGTAGTACTCCATTGTATGTATGTACTACAGTGTTTTAATCCATTCATCTGTTGATGGAAATTTGAGTTGTTTTTTCTTGCCTCTTCTGGGTATGTGCCCAGTAGGGGAATTGCTAGGTCGTATGGTAGCTCAATTTCCATCTGTTTTAGATATTGACAATTGATTTCCATAGTGGCTGTACATACCTACAGGTTCACCAGCAGTGGATGAGAGTTCCTATGTCACCACAGCCCCTTCAACACTTGTTACTTTCTGATTTTTTGAATTGGGCTATCTTTGAGGGCATTAGGTGGTATCTCATTTTAATTTGCATTTCTC